TATTAGTATTATCATTAATATTATCAATCAATTATCGTCATTATTAATATCAACATTAAAATTTTCATCTGTTTAAATTATCAATTTCATTATCCTCATTATTATTATCATTAATAATAACACACACACACACACACACACACATGTATACATACGTACACACACACACACACACACACACACACACACACACACACACACACTCACACAGACGTCTGAAGCGAATCAGGGTTCATATTTTTTCTGTACCGTATTCCCGTACCATCATCACTGTCATGATCATATCTCATCCTCACCACAACATCACATCCATCACATCACAGGCATTATTACTACAACACCAATCATCACATCATTCTAATCACTTCACTACCTACATAGTATCCCATTCACATCATGATCCTGACATCTCAACCACAATCACATCACAACCAAAACATCCCAACCATCACCACATCACAAACGAAACATCCCTACCTTCATCACATCACAACTAAAACACCCCAACTATCACCACATCACAACCAAAACATCCAAGCCATCACCACATCACAAACGAAACATCCCTACCTTCACCACATCACAACCAAAACACCCCAACCATCACCACATCACAACCAAAACATCCCAACCATCATACAACAGCCAAATTTACTACCACAACGCACCCTGCCACTCACCCTGTCTTGATGAAATTGGTCCAAGTTGTGATAACCGATTCGCTGAGAGCTGCCTCTGTCTTGGTGTAGTTGATGGGGGGAGCCACGGGACCCCCAGCCCCTAGTGGGGTTCCAAACACGTACAGGAGCTCATTGAGGGAGACTTCGGGTCCTCTCTGTTGGGATTAAGAGAGGAGGGGGGGGGGGCTTAGTAGATATCAGAACTGAGAATTAGAACGATATTAGTAGAAAGAGAAAGAGAAATAATATGAGAGAGAGAGAGAGAGAGAGAGAGAGAGAGAGAGAGAAAGGAAAAAATGATACTTGAATTGAGAATGTATAAGGATATCAACATTAAAGAGAAAGATAAATATCAGAGATAGAGATAGATAGATAGAGATAGATAGGTAGATAGATAAATAGATAGATAGATTGTTAGATCAAGAGAAAACATTATAAGAAATGATAATTAAGAATTGAAAAAAATGTTAAAGTATTAAAATTATTTTGAAAAACGAGAGACTGTTAGAAATGAGAATCAAGGATTAAGGCAGAAAGTAGAAATGAAAATTATTAGACATGTTTAAGAAAAAAAAAATAAAAAACGAAATTGATGGTTATAGTATCGAAGGATGTGCGACCCGTTCTCGTTATGCATATAGTTGTAGTTATGTTTATATTCCTATAATGATAAATGTAATGGTAAAACATTATGATTATGTAATAATGTTAAAAACAATGATAATAACAAATACAACAAAAAACAGTAACAACAACAATAGTAATAGTAATTACAATAATTCTAATAATAATGATAATAATAATAATAGTAATAATAATAGCAATAATAATAACAAGAATAATAATAACAAAAATGATAATAATATCAATAATAATAATTACAATAATGGTAGTGATGATAATGACAATCCTAATCCTAACCTTTATCATAATAACAATAATAATAATAATAATAATAATAATAATAATAATAATAATAATAATAATAATGATAATAATAATAATAATAATAATAATAATAATAATAATGATAATAATAATAATAATAATTATAATAATAATAATTAGAATAACAAGACTTTTATTATTATCATTCGTTATCATTCATATAGCAATGGTATTAGTTATAATAACAATAAAAATCATAATAATGATATCAGTATTAATGATAACAACCACAAACTTAATAAAAGCATAAATAATGATATGGATAATGATATGATAATGATAATGATGATAATGATAATAATCATAACACTATTGATACTAAATAATAATAATGATAATAATGATAATAATAATAATAATGATAATAATAATGATAATAATAATAATAATAATAATAATAATAATAATAATAATAATAATAATAATAATAATAATAATAATAATGATAATAATAAAAAAAAGAAAAGAAAAATAATAATAATAATAATAATAGTAATAATAATAACAATAATAATAACAATAATAACAATAATAATAATAATAATAATAACAACAACAATAATAATAATAATAATAATAATAATAATAATGATAATAATAATAATATTAATGATAATAATGGTAACAAAATATAATGAGAATAATGATAATAATGATATTATATAATATTGTAGATATTATTACTAGTAATCAATAGATTAATATCAAATCATCAGTGAGAAAAACAAACGATACAAGCAAAATAAAAGAAGGGAGAAAAAGTGAAAAGACAAAGAAAAGCAAGAACATCCAATAATTGTAGCACTAATGGTGATAATAACACTAAAGGCGATTCACATGAAATGCTCAGTGTTATGGAGGTTCGCTAAGGTAGGAAAAATTCTCATCGGGGAGCACTTGTAAACGGGACCAGGTTGTAATTTTCTCGGGTAATTAAGATTCTCTCCTATTATCTCTCTCTTTCTCTCTGGTTCTCTGTTTCTGTGTCTCTTAATCTCATTCTCTTTGCCCGGTATTATGTCTTTATTTTTGTCTTTCTTCTTTCCTTTTTTGGTCTCTCTCATTTTCTGCCTGTCTGTCTGTGTTTCTGTTTGTCTGTCTGTCGGTCTCTCTGTATGTCTGCCCCCTCCCCCCTCTCTCTGTCTTTGCATATCTCTCTCTCTCCCTGTTATGACAAATATCCCATTTTCTTTCGTCTGTCATTGTCTGTCTGTCTCCCTCTCTTCCCCCCCCCCCTCTGTCTCTGTCTCTGTTTCTGCATATCTCTCTCTCCCTCCCTTTATTTAACACATTTCAAATCTATTTTGACAAATAAGCCATTTTCTTTCCTCTGCCATTGTCTCTCTGTCTCCCCCCCTCTCTCTGTCTCTGTCTCTGCATCTCTCTCTCTCTCCCTCCCTTTCTTTAAAACATTTCAAATCTATTATGACAAATATCCCATTTTCTTTCCTCTGCCATTGTCTCTCTGTCCCCCCCTCTCTCTGTCTCTGTCTCTGCATATCTCTCTCTCTCCCTCCCTTTCTTTAAAACATTTCAAATCTATTAGGACAAATATCCCAAAATATCCCATTTTCTTTCCTCTGTCATTGTCTCTCTGTCTCCCTCCCCCTCTCTCTCTGTCTCTGTCTCTGCATATCTCTCTCTCTCCCTCCCTTTCTTTAACACATTTCAAATCTATTATGACAAATAACCCATTTTCTTTCCTCTGCCATTGTCTCTCGGTCTCCCCCCCCCCCTCTCTCTCTCTCTGTCTCTGTCTCTGCATATCTCTCTCTCTCTCCCTCCCTTTCTTTAAAACATTTCAAATCTATTATGACAAATATCCCATTTTCTTTCCTCTGCCATTATCTCTCTGTCTCCCTTCCCCCACCCTCTCTCTGTCTCTGTCTCTGCATATCTCTCTCCCTCCCTCCCTTTCTTCAACACATTGCAAAAGTATTATCACAAATATCCTATTTTTTTCCTGTGTCCTCGTTCCTAATCATAATCTCGTCCCTATTTGTTTATTACTCCTATTTTCATTATTATTTCTTATAATTTTTTCCCATGTCTCTGTGTTCCTTTCCGCTTCCTTTAAATGTCCTTTCTATGTTCGTTCCATATTTTTATTTATTTTTCCCTCATTTACATTTTTCACTTCTTGTTTTCTTTTCTTTCCTATTTTCTTTTTTCTTTGTATTTAATAATCTGTATATGTATTTATTCTTTCTGTTTATCCACTACTTATTTATTCATTCCTTCTTTTTTATCTATTTATTATTTGTGTTGAAGTATGGTTTAAAGAGAGGCACATTTCATGCAGAAAAAAGTCATTTAAATTATTTTTTCTTCAATTCAAACATTTTTTTATTTGATTAAATTGTCAAGATAATTAATGCAGCTGTGACCATGTCTATCCTCACTACCCTATTATCATTGTAATTATTGTTGTTATTATCATTATCGCTACTGTTTATGTAATTATCATTGTTATCATTATTATGCTTATTCCTATTTTTAGTATTATCATTATCGATATTGTTGGAATTATTATTATCTTTATCATTAGTGTCCTTATTACTATTATTACTATTTTTATTATTATCATTATCATTATTATCATCATTATTGTTATTATTGTTATTATCACTATTATTATCATTATTATTATTATTATTACTATTATCATTACCGTCATTATAATGATCATCATTGTTATTCGCATATCCGTTGTTATTATTATCATTTTTGACAATATCTTTATTATTATCATCATAATTATTATTGTTATTATTACTGTTATTACTAGTAATGCTATTATTATCATAATAATATAATAGTAATAATAATAATAATGATAATAATAATAATAGTAATAATAACAATGGTAACAATAATCGTAATATTAATAATAATAATAATAACAACAACAATAATAATGATAATAATAATAATAATAATAATAATAATAAAAATAATAATAATAATAAAAATGATAACAATAATAATAACAATAATAATAGTAACAACAATAATAATGATAATAATAATGGTAATAATAATAATAATAATAATAATGATAATAGTAATCACAATAATGATTATTATTATCATTCTTATAATTATTATTATCATTCTTATAATTATTATTATCATTCTTACAATTATCATAATCATCATTTTATAATCGTTATTATCATTATCATCTTTATTATTATCATCATTATTATTAGTAGCATCAGTATTACTATTATCATTATAATCGTTATCATTATCATTATCATTCTAATCACTATAATCATAATCATAACTATGATCAACTCCACATCGTCATCATCACCATCATCACTTGATCATCATCATCATCATCATTTCCTTTACCATCATCACATCCTCATCACCACCACCACTTTCATCATTCTTACCATCATTATCACCATAATCATCATCATCACCATTATCATTATCCCCATCGCCATCATCATCCTCATCACCTTCGTCGCTATTGATAAAGCGGCCATTATCAGAAGCAATATCAACATCATTACTCTCGCTATTTTTGGCATCATCAAGATCTAAATTTCACACGTAAAGATGATATTATGCTATAATTTCAATCACTCGTAGGGAGTAATGAGGAAGAGTTGTGCTTAAATTTTTTTTTGTCAATTTTCGCTGTCATTTGAGGCGATCTGTAAACTTTCGGTGTGAAAGAGTTTCCTCGGAAATGGGAAAAATGTATTATCTCTTTCTCTCTTTTACTTTGCTCTTATCTTCTTTCCTTACCTCCCCTTTATTCTTCACTTTTCTGTTTCCCTTTAGTGTATTCCTTCTCTTTTTCTCTCTCTCTGTTTCTCTCTCTCTTTCTCTCTGTGTCTCTCCCTTCTTCTCTTTCTGTCTGTCTGTCTGTGTGTCTGCCTCTGTGTGTGTGTGTGTGTGTGTGTGTGTGTGTGTGTGTGTGTGTGTGTGTGTGTGTGTGTGTGTGTGTGTGTGTGTGTGTGTGTGTGTGCCTGTGTCTGTTTGTTTCTCTCTCCCTCTCTTTCTTTCTGTTTGTTTGCCTGTCTGTCTGTCTCTCTCTCTCTCTCTCTCTCACTCACTCACTCTCTCTCACTCACTCTTTCTCATTCATTCTTTCTTTCCCCAGCTCTCTCTCTTCCCAGGCTTCCATTCTCCCTTCCCACCCATTCTCTTCCCATCCCTCCTTCCTCCACACCTCTCTCCTACGCCTCCGTCCCCTACCCCGCTTGCTTTCCACCTTTCTCATCTCTCTCGCCCAACTCATCTCTCCCATCTAGATCCTTCCCTCTCCCCCTCCCCCTTCCTCTCAGCTCCACCTTTCTTATCCCCCCTTTCAATTCCTACTCACCCCCCCCCCCCTCTCAACCCTCTTTTCTCCCATCACTACTTCCTCTCCCATACACACACCTCCTCCCTTCCCCACCTCCCTCCTCCCTCCTACCCCTTCCTCTCCCATCTCCACATTTTTCTTACCTCAGTTCCCTCTTTTCCCACCCTCCCTTCTTTTCATCCCCACTCCCTCTCCTCCACCTCTCTTCCCTCCACCTCCCCCCTCCCCAACTCCCATCCTGTCCTTCCTTCGCACCCCCACCCTCTTCCTTCCTTCCCTCTCCTCCCCTCCCCCTCCTCCCCTCCCACCCCCCTCCTCCCCTCCCACCCCTCCCCCTCCTCCCCTCCCACCCCTGCCCCTCCCTCCACCCCTTCCCCTCCCCCACCTCCCATCCCATCCCTGCCCCTCCCTCCACCCCTCCCCCACTGCCCTTCCCCCCACCACTCCCCCTCCCCCTCCTCCCATCCCACCCCTCCCCCTCCCCTCCCCCCACCTCCCATCCCCTCCCTGCCCCTCCCTCCACCCCTCCCCCTCCCCCTCCTCCCATCCCCCCCTGCCCCCCCCGCCCTCTCCTTCCACACACAATTCCGCGACCTCTCGAAGCGAAGGTGTCAAAGTCGACGCAATTATCCGTCCTTTGTGCGGAGGAAAATTGCCGAACGGTGTCAGTTTTTTCACTCTCTTTTTTTTCCTTCCACTTCTCTGCTTCTCTTTTGGTTCGCACTCTTTTACTCCCCGACGTCCCCCTCTCTTCCCTCTCCTCTCTCCTTTCTTTCTGTCCTGTCTTCTATGTTCACGTTTCTTTTCTTTTCTCCTGTTTCTTTTCCCTTCTTTCTCTCACTCCCTTCACTCTCCTCGCTTCTATTCTCGTCTTTTCTCTCTTCCGACTCGTTTGTCTTTCCTCTTCCTCTCTTTGCTCTCTCCCCCCTCTCTATCTTTCTTCTCTCTCCGTTCTTAGCTCCTTTTCTCTCTTCCCCCTTCCTCCTCCTCCATCTCTTAATGTAGAAAGGAGAGAGGAGAAGTATGATAGAGGAGATAGAACGATAGAAAGAGGAATAGAGAGAGAAAAGGATGGAACGAGGGAGAGATGGAGGAGATTTGATAAGATAAAAAGCGGAGACTTTACCCTGTCCTCGTCATTATTCTTCAGACTCACCTGAACGAAGATGAAAAGTAATGTGAAAGAAAGGCAGAAAAGGAGAGAAAGAGATAACACACAGAAGAAAGGTAAGAGGGGCTAATGATGGAGGAAAATAAAACAAAGAAGAAAAGAAAGGAGAGATAAAAAGGGAAGATAATAAATCACGAGGTTGTAAGTATCTCCTTCGCCATTGGCTCCGACCGGCCCTCGAGTCCGCCGAGTGTGGCCAAAGGAAAGGAAACCGTAAAGGACAATCAGGAACAACGATAAAAGTAAGAATAATGCAATAGAAAGGTAAACTAATGACATGATGTCTGGGTGGATGAATGAAGGAATGAATAAAGGAATAAGTGAATGAATAGATAAACGAATAAAGGAAGGAACAAATGAATATATAAACGAATAAAGGAATAAATGAATGAATAGATAAATGAATAAAGGAATAAATCAATGAATAGACAAACGAATAAAGGTATGAATAGATGAATAGATAAACGAATTAAGGAATAAATAAATTAACAAATAAACGAATAAAGGAATAAATAAATGAACAGATAAACAAATAAATGAATAAATAAACAAATAAAGGGATAAATATATGAACAAATAAACGAATAAAGGAATAAGTAAATGAACAGATAAACAAGTAAATCAATAGATAAATGCATATATAAACGAATAAAAAAATAAAAAAAGAATAGATAAACGAATAAAGGAAAAAAAAATCCATGATCAAATGAACGAACAAAGGAATAAATAAACAAACAGATAAACGAATAAATAAAACACGAATAAAGAGCCACGTGAACAAATATAGACAAGAATTGGTCAATAGAGATAAAAATGAACGATCAAATTGTCAAATAAATTCTTGGATCCTGATATGGCAATGGAAAAAGGAAAGCAGTGTACAAAAAAAGAAGAAAAATAAAAAGAAAAAAATAGTTCGATGAAAAGAATACGGGGAAACTGAGAAAGGAGTAGAAAGGGAGAGAAAAAAACTCGAGATCATAACAGAATCAGGGTTAGGGTGAGAGGTGGGGATGGGGGGGAGAGGAGAAGAGTTAAAGAGAGAGAGAAAGGGCGTGAGCAGATATATAGAGATAGATAGATAGAGAGAGTGAGAACGAGAGAGAGAGAGAGAGAGAGAGAGAGAGAGAGAGAGAGAGAGAGAGAGAGAGAGAGAGAGAGAGAGAGAGAGAAATGGCGTGAGCAGATATATAGAGATAGATAGATAGAGAGAGTGAGAACGCGAGAGAGAGAGAGAGAGAGAGAGAGAGAGAGAGAGAGAGAGAGAGAGAGAGAGAGAGATGCGAGAGATAGAGATAGAGAGAGAGAGAGAGAGAGAGAGAGAGAGAGAGAGAGAGAGAGAGAGAGAGAGAGAGAGAGAGAGAGAGAGAGAGAGAGAGAGAGAGAGAGAGAGAGAGAGAGAGATAGAGAGAAAGAGAGAGAGAGATGGCAGCAGGCAGTAGGAGGCGGACAGAGGAGACGGAGAGGGGGGGGGGGGCGAATGAAGAGGAATGAAGGAAGGGTTGAAGGCGTTCCTTCAAGGGGCTGATGAGGTTAGGAAAGTTGATTTTCGGGCGCGCCCAGTTTTAAAATGCGACGGATGTTCGAGCTTGTGTGTCAAGGGAAGAGGGCGAGGATATGAGAGTGGGAGAGGGAGGGGGAGAGGGGAGGAGTGGGAGGGGGAGAAGGAGCGGAGAGGGAAGGAGAGAGGGGGTGGAGAGGGGGGGAGAGATGGAGGGAAAGGGAGAGGGACAGATGAGGCGGAGGGGGATGGGGACAGAGGGGGCAGAGAGGGTGGGAGGGAGGGAGGGGGAAAGAGAGAGAGAGAGAGAGGGAGAGAGAGAGAGAGAGAGAGAGAGAGAGAGAGAGAGAGAGAGAGAGAGAGAGAGAGAGAGAGAGATGAAGAGAAGGAAAATAGCGATATAGGAAGGATAAAAATATAGCGAAGGGGGAGAGGTTGAAAAAAAGAGAAAGAGGGCGAAAAGTGGGGATGAGAGCGTAGGAACAAAGAAGAGTGGAATTGGTTAAATAAAGAGAAAATGAACAAGGAAGAAGCAAAAAAGGGAAGAGAATGTAATACAAAGTAGAAGGCCAAGAAATCAATAGAATATGAGTGATAGAAAACCATATTGCATATCCATACACAACAACAACAACAACAAGAAACAACAACAACAACAACAACAACAACAACAACAACAACAACAACAACAACAACAACAACAACAACAACAACAACAACAACAACAACAACAACAACAACAACAACAACAACAACAACAACAACAACAACAACAACAACAACAACAACAACAACAACAACAACAACAACAACAACAACAACAACAACAACAACAACAACAACAACAACAACAACAACAACAACAACAACAACAACAACAACAACAACAACAACAACAACAACAACAACAACAACAACAACAACAACAACAACAACAACAACAACAACAACAACAACAACAACAACAACAACAACAACAACAACAACAACAACAACAACAACAACAACAACAACAACAACAACAACAACAACAACAACAACAACAACAACAACAACAACAACAACAACAACAACAACAACAACAACAACAACAACAACAACAACAACAACAACAACAACAACAACAACAACAACAACAACAACAACAACAACAACAACAACAACAACAACAACAACAACAACAACAACAACAACAACAACAACAACAACAACAACAACAACAACAACAACAACAACAACAACAACAACAACAACAACAACAACAACAACAACAACAACAACAACAACAACAACAACAACAACAACAACAACAACAACAACAACAACAACAACAACAACAACAACAACAACAACAACAACAACAACAACAACAACAACAACAACAACAACAACAACAACAACAACAACAACAACAACAACAACAACAACAACAACAACAACAACAACAACAACAACAACAACAACAACAACAACAACAACAACAACAACAACAACAACAACAACAACAAGGTACATTTCGTAACTAGATATTTATTCCTTACACTACACATACTAAGGTCTCACAGTATTAAGCATATGGATAAACACCAACTAAGATAATATATATATATATATATATATATATATATATATATATATATATATATATATATATATATATATATAAATAGATAGAGATAGATAGATAGATGGATATAGATATATAGATAGATAGACACGCGCACACACACACACACACACATATATGTGTGTGTGTGTGTGTGTGTGTGTGTATTATGATAATAGCAAAAATAATAATAATAATGATAATAATAATAATGATAATAATAATAATAATAATAATAATAATAATAATAATAATAGTAATAATAATAACAATAATAATAACAATATTAACAATAATGATAATAAAAACAAAGAGAGCAAAGTAATATACACAGCGAGAGCCCCCTGAGCCGTACCTCCGGGTCGGGGTCGTCGAGCGTGTGGTCAATGACGTAGAAGTAGGCGGCCCTGGCGGCGGTGTACAGCTGGTTGGCGGCGACGGTGACGGGCGACACGAGCGCCGCGTCGTGCAGCGCCTCCGCCGTCAGGTCCCGGATGTTGACCGGATGCTGCACGGGCCGCGACCAGTCCGTGTACTCGGCGGTGATGGCCAGCACGATCTCCTGCGGGAGGAAAAGGGGAGACGAGTTTCGGAAGTGTCTTTTGGTCTAGTTTGTGCCGAAGGGAAACGGGAGGCTTAATATTTTGGTTTATATTTTTTCTTTTACTTTTCTTTGTATGTTTGTTTTTATGTCCAACACGGTCATCCCAAAAGAGCAAAGGAGGAGGGGAGATGACTTCTAAGTTTTTGTTTTGGCGAATATTTTTTTTTTACATTGAGTGGAAGCTTTTGATTTATCCCCTTTTGTGATTTTTTCCTCAGTTTGTTATTTTCTAGGGCGATCTCTTGCAAGGGGTGAGGGAGGGAGGGGCACAATCGTATAGCTGATTTTACTTTATTTATGAATAGTTCAATTTGTTTGTTTTACACTAGTGTGCAATCTCCTAGGAAGTGGGAAATACAAATAGGGCAATGGTAGTTTATTTCTTTATGAATATTTGTGCTTCTTGTTAGTCCCAACCGCAACCTTCTGCCTGAACCAGCTAAAAGTGAGGACTATAGCAAGCTCGGTTATGTTGTCATGAAGCAGGTCGTAAATTCTGGAAGATGATGAATTCCGTTTGAAGTAGAGCATTTTCCAAACAGAGTGAGTCACGTTGCTGTTACTAGGTACAGAGAGGGAGACGAAATGTTTATGATCTTTTAAAAATTATTAAGAAATTTGAACATAATATACCTAAAACCAATGAGACTTTTCTCGATTCAAGAATAATTAACTTACAACGCCAATTATATTACATGCAGTTACAGATATGGGATAACAACAACAAAATCCATAAATAACATCTTAATGCAAATTACCTGGAGATGATAGCGGTAGTTGTTCGTGACGAAAGTTCGAAGAATACGGTCCCGGTGGTCGGCCTCGAACCCATGCTGTATTTCGGCGTCGCTGAACACCTCGAGGATGTCCGTAGCTGTGACGCCGAGCAGGATGTCCACAGGAGTGCGACCTTCCTGACCTGCATTGGGAACAGGCGTCGTTAAAGGTTGGAGATATGATAGGACGAGGAAGGAAAGTGAATAGGATGGGTTTTGTGTTTTATTTAACGTAATGTTAGGATTTTGTCTGTTTCGTGTGTTTGTATTAGTGTATGTATTTGTGTGTCTGTGCATCTGTGTGTTCGTGTAGGCAAGTTTTGTGTCTGCTTGCTTGCTATACGGATATGAGTGCATGAACTTACCCATTTTCGTGTGCTGCTGCTTCCAATCCGGCCTTATCGTTACCCCGTCCACACTGGGACCAATGGATGACAGGAACTGTGGCGTCTCCAACTCAACCTACGAAAAGGAAGATAGAAATATTTGTAAATTCTTCTTAGTCTTAGAAAACAGTCAGTACTGGTGATGTTGGTTTGCCCTCGAAAGTTCAAGGTCGCGCGCGAGGCAGGCAGACACGAAGTTTTTTTTTTTTTTTTTTTTTTTTGCCAGGCGAACATGTGTAAAGTTATCTGTCATGGGATATAGCCATATCAAGTATTTCCAACATAAAAGATACTAGGCAGGGTTAAGGCACTAACCATGGTTAAGTAAGGAAATGTAAAACTGGAGAAAAAAGGAGTATGTTCTGTACATCTTAACGAGGGAAAAAAGGAAGCGCTGGTGAGAAAATGCTTCCTAAAAAAGCGAGATAGCCTCTCCGTGTCGCGTCGAGTAATGGAAAGGAGAAACTTTTGTTCATTGAAATATTCGCCTGAAAATGCACG